CTGTTTGACAGCAGAACACCTGGGGTGGGGAGAGCTGGAGTTCTCTAAGCTGACTCGAATTCTAACCCAGCCTTCAGGGAGTGGTTCTTGAGGTTTAGTGCAGTCAGAATACCTGCAAACCTCATTAAAAATGCAGACACCCTAGCCTCATCCCTAGAGATGCTCACTTAGTAGGTCTAGCATGGGTTCAAGAATCAGGTGATTCTAATGTGGGTGATGCTGGGACCACAATTTGAGAAATACTGAACTCGAGACACCCAGAGGAACATTAAAAGAGAGATACCCCAGGTGCTGACAAGGGAAACTAATCTATAAAGGGCCATCTAGGGCTTTGGTTTTGTTACGAAGGATATGGGAGCTTGAAGCCATTGCTGGTTTGCTGAGGACAACAGGAGAGTGACTGAGTGTTGCCACCTCCAGTCGGCCTCCCTCTTCCCTGCCCATTCCATGCAGTACTCAGCCTTTCCTCTTAATAAATGCTGGACAGATTTTTAAAGAATATCAGTTTAAAAAGGAGTCAAAATATTAGCCTGCCCAGCAAAACACACGTGACTGGCCCCAAGTTACCCCAGGACCCCAAATGTGGACCAGGGTCACCCACATGAAGCTCAGAAGGTCCTGTTGCTTGGTACTGTTCAACTTCAACGCCTGAAAAACTAGATGCCCCTAATATATTTGTGACCCAAGTTCAAAGATAAATTTAACCTATATGGGAATAATATAATAGGATTTCTTCCTTTCTATTAAAAATACTTTCTCTTGTCAAATTCCTTATCATTTCAAAAGTTTAAACCTTGAAGTGGTCTTTTGCTTCTAAGCAAACTTTACCTAACCCAAACTCTTAGAGAGAGAGTAGATAAATATCCATCACTTTACCTAACCATCTTCGGGAAATGAAATTCCATAATCTTTCTTGGTAACTCATCTTTATATATTAAAGATTATCAGTTTTCAGAATTCTTTTTTTCTGATCAAATTTAAAGATAAAGGTTGACTTTTCTAATGCATTCAAATAGGCCAGCTTAAAAACACATACACAAGGAAAACGTACATGAATTCACTAGAGACTCATAATATATGACCCAGGTTTCTTTCTTCATTATAATAATGGGCAAAAGGTGTGGGCTTTTCTCAATTTATCCACCCTAATTCACATGTGTACTCAAATACAAGCCCATATTCTTTGATTCCATAATGAGTAGAAATGATGCCATAACATCTACTCTTGTCTATAGCTAAAATTTCGCCTTCTCTCTTTCTTGCTCCTAAATAAAATGAGTATTTATTCTTGTTTTTAAAAGCATAATTATCATCATACCAGGTACTGATCATGCTACACTTCAAACCTATTTTTCTGAAAACTTGCCTGAATTCAGTAAGTGGTTTTCCTCCTTTCACTGAAGTCAATTTCCTTACTATATTTCTGCCCCTCATTCCCCTTAACCTGTACCACCAAAATTTTCATCCCAACCTTCACATTGTTCCTTAGAATTTCTGTCCTCAGAGTTTCTTATACATGTTTTCTTCTTTTTTTTTTTTTAAATTTTGTGTGATGTATGAATCAGGCAAGTGTATAAAGTATAAAGGGGCAATTTGAAAATCTTTTTTTTAAGTAATAAATGTAATTTTTAAGATTAAATTTCCATTCATCATTTTAGGCCATATAAATTAATCTGATGGAATATCTAATAAATTTATTATAGAACATTCCCCATGTAAATTATATGATATATAAATAAAAGTGCTGAATGTATTAATGGTTGATGTTAATGAATTAGACCTAAGTATAGCAATATAGAAGACAGTGTTTTTAATCATCTCACTCAAAATAATCTCTTTTCCCTGTAACTAAAAATGAATGGCTGCAGAGTATTTTAAAAATAGGAAACCAAGATGGTATCAGTCCAGTTGACAGTCTTTCTCTTTGACAAGATTGTGGAAGACTAAAGATTAAGATAATTTCCTTGTTTTCCATGATGCTTTTATGCAAAAGTGATGATTTGCATAATTTCCTTTCAGTCTCAATTGAATTTCTGAAGCTATTTTTCAAGCAAACTTCCACATGTCTCCAGTGTACACCATCTGTCTCATCTCTCTTTCTCTCTTTTTTTTAAGTATTACAATTAGCTTGTAACAGGAGCTGTCAAATCTTTATTCCCCAAGGATTCTTTCTTTTGATAAATGAAGAGGAACTGTGTATATTGTTATATGTAGTTGTATGAACGTGACGGGGGTTAAGGAAAGGTTAGATGTTCAAAGCAGTTATGGCTAAGTTGACATATTGGAGGAAATGTGATCAGGTAAGCTGGCTAGAGTTTTTAAATCAGATTCTTTACTCCAGGAAAATGAAGGAATGTTTAGTCAGAAGGTGGAGAGGTCTTAAAGCAAAGAATTCGCAAATAGCCTTACTAAGAGTTCTGTGGCCTATACTGCAAGCAATAGAGAAAATGTGGGAAAAAAAGGATGACCTTACTCACAGGCTGCAAACTGCTTACAAAGCCTATTGGCATTTGCAAATGGTTGATGCTTTACCAGGGGCATCAAGTTTTATGTTTACGTAGTAAGTGTATACTCAGCAGGAACTTCCAGGAAATCACATGGATTGCCAAGAAAAAGTCTATATTGAAGTATTATTTAGAAAAAAATCCTGCCAAAACATTTAAAAAGCTTTTTAAAAATTGAAGTTAACAAGAAAACGCAATAGTTAGAATTTATGTAATACCCAGAATTTACAACCAATATATTTTGTAGCATTTCATAAAATTTTATTTGCAACTCAATTTCAATCAATTTGTAGAGCTCTAATTACTGAAATTTAGTAAGAAGCTGCAAAGTACAGTTAAAGCTTCAGCTATCCAGAAATCTTGACGACTGGGTCACTCTGGAAAACCAACTTTTATTTGGATGAAAATATTTGAGATATAAGTTTCCCTGATTTTTTAAAAAAAGACATAAGTAGTTAACATTTATGGATGACTCCAGGCCATCATTATAAATTTCAATTACTGTACAAACAGAATAGTTAAGACTGTGGAGTCAGACAGACTTGGGTTTGAGTCCTGGCTCTGAGAATTTTTACTTATGTGACTTTTAAGAAAGTCATTTAACCTCTGTCAGCCTTAGTTTCATCATCTATAAAATGGAGGTAAGGGTACCTACCTCATAGATTGTTGTGAAGCTTAAAAGAGATAATACATCTGTATTTAATATATTTACATGGTACTCAGTAAGAACTCAGTAAAGCTTAACTTCGTTGTTAGTGCCATGGGGTGGATTCTGACTCTTAGCGACCCTGTGTACAGCGGAGCTGAACCGCGCAGGGTCTTTTTCTGCCATTCTCTCACCTTTCAGCGCTGTATCAGATAACGCTCTACTGCTATTCATAGAGTTTTCATGGCCAATTTTTCGGAAGTTGGTGGCCTGTCCTTTTTCCTAGTCTGTCTTAGTCTGGAAGCTCTGCTGAAACCTGCTGTCCAGCATGGGTGACCCTGCTGGTATTTTGAAAATACTGGTGGCATAGATTTCAGCATCACAGCAACACAGCCACCACAGTTTGACAACAAATGGGTGGTGTGGTTCCCTGACCGGGAAACAAACCCAGGCTGTGGTGGTGAGAGTGCCTAATCTTAACCATTGGACCAGCAGGGTTGGCTAAATCTTAACTAGTCCTAGTGTTAATATTAGTATTATTAGTAGTATTGACATGATTGTTTTACATTGAGGTATTTAGGAGCATTTTTCTCTTAATAACATCAGAATTCTATGTTTTTAAATCTTGTGTTTATCTTTTTTTGTTTTTGTCTTTCTTCCTTTTCCATTGGCACTAGAAGCTGCCCCAACCTTTTAATGGTGAGGGTTTGGAAGCGCCATACGGGAGGAAGAGTGAGTGAGAACCACCCCGACTACACAGGTTTGTCAGCACCTTTACTTCTCTGAGATATCACCAAGCCCCAGACCCATCTTCCACTTACATGACTCTCGCCATAAGAACTTGATCCTAAGTCTTCACACATTCTCAGCCTGCAATACCCTCTGATGCTTGACTCTCATGTTTGGAATCTTTCTCTCCTACTCACCACCTCCTCACCCACTTTTGGTAAATAATCATCACCTGTGGATTTTTTCTTTTTTCTTTTTTTTTTTTAAATGTTGTATGTAGTCTTTCTTTTTTTTTTTTTTTTTTTGTGAGGAAGACCAGCCCTGAGCTAACATCCATGCCAATCCTTCTCTTTTTGCTGAGGAAGACCGGCTCTGAGCTAACATCTGTTGCCAATCCTCCTCCTTTTTTTCCCCCCCAGATCCCCAGTAGATAGTTGTATGTCATAGTTGCACATCCTTCTAGTTGCTGTATGTGGGACGCGGCCACAGCATGGCCGGAGAAGCGGTGCGTTGGTGTGCGCCTGAGATCCGAACCCGGGCCGCCAGTAGCGGAGTGCGTGCACTTAACCGCTAAGCCACGGGGCCGGCCCTGTGGATTTTTTCTTAGACTCTTCTTGGACCTCCATTCTCATAAATAGTTTTCGGAGCATGTTAGTCATTTGTCTTGCTTCCAACTGCTGGTTTCCTCAGATTCCAGCCTTCTCAGTTGGGGCTTGGCAGTAGATCTACAGACTATTACTTCTCACTATTTTCACAGTAGCTATCTTTCTCAATTAATTTATCAAACTGCTAACATCACAGTAGTCAATTAACCCAGATTGTAAGAACCATGTGTAGAGCAATAGAAATTAAAGTGGAGCAATACCATCAAAGTTCATCTCCTTCTTATCTGTATCCATGCCTCCCCCTAAACCAATGTATGATATAGAAGCCATGTGGTTATGCTTCCATATCCTTCCACATGCTCATGTAACCATATATAAAATATACATACATATACTGGGGAGTTAACTTTGTTTAAAAAATAAGATTATATCTTATTTATTTCTCTGCAGCTTGCTTTTTTTCCTCTAGAAAACATATTGTAGGAATCCCTTTTAGTCAATGGGCACAGAGCTAACATTCTTTATAATGTTTGCATAGTTTTCTGTGGAATGGTTGTATCCCAATCATTTTCCTATTAATTGTCATTCACTATTTTGGTTTTTTATACTAAAAACTAAGCTGCAATAAACATTCTTGTTTCCATATCCTTATGTAGAGAATAGATTCCCTAGGATGGAATTTCTGGGTCAAGGAAAATGCATTAAATTTTTTTTTATTGCCATATAATATTGTGTAAGTTTGAGGTGTACAACATGTTGGTTTGATACATTTGTATATTGCAATATGATTACTACAGTAGCATTAGCTAACACCATTATCACATCACATAATTATCATTTTTGGGGGGTTAAGAACAATTAAGATCTAGTCTCTTAGTAACTTTGAAGTTTATAATACATTATTATATATTGACTATAATCACTACATTGTGCATTAAATCTCCAGAACCTATTTATCTACCAGCTGCAATGGAATGCCTATTTTTAACAGATATTGTCAGATTTCATTCCACAAAAACTACACAATTTAGATTTCTACAATCAAAGTATGAAAATACTCCGGGGCCGGCCCAGTGGCGCAGCGGTTAAGTGGGCACACTCCGCTTTGGCAGCCCGGGGTTCACAGGTTCGGATACCAGGCATGCACCAACGCACCACTTGTCAAGCCATGATGTGGCGGCGTCCCATATAAAGTAGAGGAAGATGGGCACGGATGTTAGCCCAGGGCCAATCTTCCTCAGCAAAAAAAGAGGAGGATTGGCATCGGATGTTAGCTCAGGGCTGATCATCCTCACAAAAAAAAAAAAAAAAAGTATGAAAATACTCATTGCACATCCCCAAATCACACTTTCTGGCTATCATTCTTTTCAATTTTTAATATTTTGATAGGTGTCTTATGATATCTGATTAATATTTTAAATTGCATGTCCCTGACGACTAATGGGGTAAGCTCTTTTTATTTACTGTCACTTGTCATTTGGATTTTCTCTTATTTGAGTTTGTTAGTCTTTATCTCATCAGTTTAATAAGAGCCCTTTGTACGTCAAAGATATTAGCCATTTATTTATCTGACATTGGCATTGCTAATATTTTCCCCAATCTTTCCCAGTCTTTTCACTTTCTCTACAACTTTTTAATTTTTTAAAATTTTGAAACAATCTCCAATTTACAGAAAAGGTGCAATATAAAGAATTTTCATTTTCCTGAACCATCTGAGAGTAAGTTGTCAACATCATGCCCCATCACCTCACAGACATTCTCCTACTCAACCACAGTACAACCATCAAAATTGGAACATTGACATTCATACATTACCACCAGTAAGTTTTGTCAATAATAGTAAGCCCCAATAATATCCTTTTGGAGCAAAAACCCATCCAGTTCAGAGTCACACATTGCATTTAGCTACCATGCCTCTCTAATCTCCATCAACTTGGAAAACATTTCTCATTCTTGAATTCTTTTGAAGATTATAGGCAAGATATTTTGTAGAATTTGGGTTTGAAACTATTCCTCATTATTAGATTCAGGTTATACACCTTTGGAAAAAAATTCACAGAAGTGATGGTGTGCACTTCTTATGGCATCCTATCAGGTGGCACCTGATTTGGATTTGGTGTTGTCCAATTTGATAACTTGTTTAAGATGGTGTCTTCTAGACTTCTCCACTATAATGTTTTCTCTCTATAGAATTTTCTTAGGAAGTATTTTGATACTAAGTAAATATTCTACTTATCAAGCTTCCAACTTACTCTCACATACACACACACACACACACACACACATATACTCTCATGGTTTTCAATTTCATTCAAAGGGTTTTACGCATTTCTATCATTAGTTATTTTGATGCTTAATTTGTCCCAGATTTGTGGGCATCTCTTCAAGCTGGCTTCTGTATCCTCTTGCTATGTTCCCAAATTCTTTGAGCATCTCTTTGCTTTTTGGCACTATAAGATGTTCCAGGTTCCTTTTGGATTTACCCTGTCCCAGCCCTGGAATCTCATTTGTCCAAGGAGCCCTGGCTCCTTTTAGAAAACAAGATCCTAGTACTACTGTGCTCATTGCTTTTGGAGTATCTTGGTCTCAGGCCCTCTTGGACTGGTAAGGAATACACACACAAACACATACACAGTTGCATGTATATTTATTTCTATATCTATGTCTATTGAAATCCATGAACTCAAGATACTTCCAATTCCAATCAATACCACAGGGCTGATTCTATTTTCTCCCTTTCCATATTTATTACTCCCTCCACCTGATTCCCATTTTCCTCAGTATATTTACTTCTTTGATCAATCCTCTTGTATGTAACCAACCTGCCATACCCTATGCTGGCCATTCCTTGAAGAAACCCCTCTCACTGCCCCATGCTCTGCCATCCTGCTCCCACACAGGACATCCTCCCTACCTAGCTCAGGCTCCAAAACCTTGGGCCAGGCCATCCCCCTGTGAGGGCAACTTCTTCACCCCAAATGTTCTCTGATACCCTGCACCATGGCATCCTCCTGTGCAGACCCCCTCCTCACCTTGCTTGGGCCCTGACATCCCACACTGGCACATCTCCCAGTGTGAACCCTCCCATTCAGACACACTCTTGACCCTGCTTGGTCTCTGGCAATTCACGCCTGGCCGCTCCTCCACGTGGACAGCTTCTTTACCCTGCTCAGGTTCTAACATCTCCTTCTGGTCCGTCCTTCTACACAGCAGCCCTCCTCACCTCACTAGATCTCTGACTCCAGCCTGCTGCTTCGTCGGGACAGCTTCCCCATCGTCCTGCCCAGGCTCTATCCTCCTGTGCTGGGACACTCCTCCCCACCCACGCCCTCCTCACACCACTCAGCCCTTTCTGAGCTACCATGAGGCTCCTCTCTACCCCCACCTGTGGACATCCACCTCTCTCGGTTTCACCTCATGACTTTAGGACTGAATTATTCAGGTAAGAAAGGGAAGGCGAGGGAAAGGAAAGAGCTCTTTATTTCTTTCTTCTGTATTCAAATACGTCAGTCTTTTTATTTATAGCTTCTAGATTTTCTTCTGTCTTATTTGAAAAGTCTCCCCAAATCCTAGGTTATAGCCCCCTAAATGTTCTTTTTTTTTAAATTTAAGTCTTTAATCATCTGAAATTTATTTTTTATTATGGCATAATGTTTACCATTTTATTCCGGAGGGATGGCCGGTTGTGCAGCATCGCTTACCTCGACATACTCCTTTTGTATGTCGATAAAAGAGAAAACTAGAAATTCAAAAGTGGGACTGAAGAGAATCAGCCAGGCAGAATTTGCCAGCCTAGATGGGAGTGTTGAGGGGTGCTCTCAGTTCCCTCACTTCCCTCCACAGCCGAGGGAAGCAAGCTTTAAGAAATATGTTTGTAGAAGTGGATGTTTGATAGAAAAGGAGGCTGGCATTTCTCTGCCGGGCTGTGGGACCAGGCAGAGCACAGTAGGAGGGTCATTAGGAGAGCTTCACTTGTGTCTCCCAAAGTTTGAGGGTCACTTTATAGTGCTAGAGCTTGTCTCTTTCCTAGAGGAGTCTGGGGGAGGCAGGCCACTGGGGCGGTCCCTACAACAGGGCGGGCAGAGAGGGTTGCGATAGGATAAGGTGTGTTTCCACCACCTAACAGCAAAAGGATGCTTATGTTTTTTTCATATACCATTAGAGAGCAAGGCTTGAGTCATCTTGAAATGATGCCTAGAAAGAGGGCAACTTTCCAGAGTGAATTGAATTCCAAAAAACAAAAAACACACAAAAACAAAAGGCGTGGTATATCACCAGAGGGCAGAGGCTAGGGGCGGCTGAGGTGCTTCAGAGGTCAGCTGGTGAGTGTACCAGCTACTCTGGGGAAAGACGCAGGTGTGGAGGGCTCCAAGGGAAATCTCCAAAGACTCAACTGCTGCACACCACAAAAGAACCAGAACTTGAAAATGTGTCATGAGAGAGGGTGTATGACGGACAGGAAATATGTAGTACAAATGGTGCCGGCTGGTGAGTCCTCTCCCTCTCCGCACCCTCCCTGCCTCACCTCTAGAGGAGGCAATGTCGGGAGAGGGGATGGAGGTAAAGTGGGCAATCACACCCCTTCGTCAGCTCTGGCCTAGAAGCAGTGGATGAGGCCTGAGCTGGGAGGAGAGGAAAAGCATTGAATTGATGAAATATTGAGGTTTTCAGGGGCCGGCCCGGTGCCACAAGCAGTTAAGTGTACGTGCTCTGCTGCGCGGCCTGGGGTTTGCCAGTTCGGATCCCGGGCGCGCACTGACGCACCAGTTGTCAAACCATGCTGTGGTGGCGTCCCATATAAAGTGGAGGAAGATGGGCATGGATGTTAGCCCAGGGCCAGTCTTCCTCAGCAAAAAGAGGAGGATTGGCAGATGTTAGCTCAGGGCTGATCTTCCTCACAAAAAAAAAAAAAAGAAATATTGAGGTTTCCATTCATTCATTTATTTTGTGAGGAAGATCAGCCCTGAGCTAACATCCATGCCAATCCTCCTCTCTTTTGCTAAGGAAGACTGGCCCTGGGCTAACATCTGTGCCCATCTGCCTCCACTTTATATGGGATGCCACCACAGCATGGCCTGACAAGCGATGCATTGGTGCACGCCGGGGATCTGAACCCTGGGCCGCCAACAGCGGAAGGCGCGCATGTGACTGCTATGCCACGGGGCCAGCCCCTGAGGTTTTCATTTAGATTGGATCAAACTACAAAATATCTAAAAATGGGACTGTTTTTAGAATCAAAAGTGGGTGAAAAGCCATGGGATCTACCAGAAATGTTACCAAGAGCAAGGAAATATTTCTTTTCTTTTTTTTTATATAATTTTATTTATTTATTTTTCCCCCAAAGCCCCAGTAGATAGTTGTATGTCATAGTTGCACATTCTTCTAGTTGCTGTACGTGGGACGCGGCCTCAGTATGGCTGGAGAAGCGGTGCGTTGGTGTGTGCCCGGGATCCGAACCCGGGCCGCCAGTAGCGGAGCGCGCGCACTTAACCGCTAAGCCAGGGGCCGGCCCCAAGGAAATATTTCTG